ATTTTTTCAAAAATCGAATTGACAGTACCAAATAAGTTCACATAATGTTGACTACTGGGTAATACTAAAACGAATAATTGTAGACAGATTTTGACACAAAATATTGCTACTGCCATATGTGCTAAAATATGCACACCTGTAAAGTGCATTGTGCCTTTATATACATTGTCAATTCCTGCATGGTTACATTTATATATTCCAAATTTTGTTCAGTAGTTGCATGTTGCTCATAACTAATTCTTCTTCTTTAAGAATTAAGTAATAAGGTGGTTGCACATTAAAAAATAAATTTGGCTTTAATACTGAAATTTGTGAGTGAACACAAACCTAAATAAGTTACACCTTTGGATAGGGATGCCAGGATCGGCAAGCATGAACCTAATAAAGTTTTGATCTGGATGCAAAATGCACTTAATATTATCCAGGGATTTTTCTAGAAAAAAAAATTCCAAGAGAGAGCACTGCAATTCAGCAGTGCCACCAAGTGGGGGAGATAGGGTTCTCCCTATCAGGGTGTGGAGTTTTTGATAATTCTAAGTTAAAATGGAGCATTCTATGGCTATCTTGGGGCCAAAATTACTATCAGACAGGTCACAGTTGAAGACTGTGATCCCTGGTCAATCAGCATTTTATGGTTGCCAGAGAATCTGCTTCTGAGGGTTAGAGGGCGCATGGCCATGGCATGAGGGCTCTGCACTCCTGTTCCTTTGTTTAAAAAAATCCCTGCTATCTTTGACTTCTTGTATTCCTATTCATTATTACCGTACACTGATACATACCTAGTTAAACTTTAATTCTTTTGTAATTGTTTGTCACCATCTTTATTTGTATGGCATCAAGAATTAATATATGGACATTTAATGTATTTTAACCAGGGTTCATTTTGACCCCCTAGAATATCGGAGCTGAGCAGATCAGCAATCTTGGACCTGCTTGTTTAGGCGGTGCCAGTGCTGAGACCATCCGTGATATGTCTGACCTAGCTGATAACATGGACGTTGTCAGAGAAGCTGCAAAACTTCTTTCACTTGCCGCCCGAGGAGAAGTTGTACGAAAGGTATGTTCAATTTTAAAGCACATGCGTGGGAATTGAGTTCCAATCGATGATAACAACACACGCTAAAAACGCATTAGGTTATGGGTAGACGCTTGTTTGTAAACAATGACACGCTATGGCCATCTGACGCATGCGCAGGTGACTATTCCCTCACTTTAAAATCTGTAGTCATCGTCATCATGCTGATTGACTATTGATTTAAATGGATGCAATGATTAATGTTCACACCACATCGGGAAGGTGGTGGCTGCTCTGCCGAGACCACAGAAAATGTGGTATTGAAGAGCTGTCACCACCATGTTTCTGTCCCTATATATAGTGTTACAACAATCAAGAAGTAATTCTTCTGTTGGATAACTGGAGCCTGTGAAGGGTACTTAAAAACATTTGTATTACAATTATTAAAATTTAATTACAATTGTGTTATTAATGTAATGTATTTGAAATTACAATGGGCACTGAAAAAATTTACTCAAGATAACCTTTTATCATTATTCAACTTTGTATGTTATATTTTTCCACACAGTTACGAGAGGAAAGTAGCTTAGGCCAAGCTGTGAGGGATTTTGGAGCTGATCTAGCGGAAGGTTTATCCAATAACCAAATTAAGGATGTAAGTCTTGCAGACTGTGGATTTGAAGAAGGAGGGGATGGCTCATGTGGTGACGTGGAATTTAAACCATGTACAGGTATATAAGTAGC